CAGCAGCATCCTGCAAGAGCTAAGCCCACCTGCGGCCCGTGGACGCGCAGGTCTGCCGGTTCCTAGGCAACTCCGAGCAAGGCCCAGCATCTCTTCCTCTCCCGACGGAGGCTCGAAGCTTGGCAACCACAAAGGCAAGCAGCCTTCATCCTCTGCCTTCTGTTGCATCGCACCTTCTCTGAAGCAATGAAGGAGTAGCCCAGAGGCGAGAAGATTAGTAGGAACTACCAGGACCCACAAAAATCTTCCGTTAGCATTTCAAACTGCTTTCCCACAACAAGGTACTTTCTCTTTCATTGTTCTTGTTCTCTCTCTCTCTCTCTCTCTCTCTCTCTCTCTCTCTCTCTCTCTCTCTCACTGCGAGTGTTTTGGGAGAAGGGGGCTGGGGCAGAGAGCAGTGGACAGCTCCCTCCTAGAAGGATCCCCGCTCCCCAACTCCTCCGTTCCACCGGGAGGCAGTAGTCCAGGGCTAACAGGTTCCTCCTTCAGGTCAAGGCTCTGATCCCAGCATCACTTGCTCGAATGTAAGAAGGATTAGCAGAGGTCAGTTTACGGAGTGATGGACTTGGGGGGTAAAGGTGATAGGGACATGGTCTGCGGTCTCTGTGGGCAGAAAGGGTTTTATATCTGCTGCTATTATTATTGTGTTGTGTAATTTAAGTATCCCGTGATATACTTTCATCCTCACCGCAAACATATGAAGATTACAGGGTTGTTTCCCCATTTTACAGACAAGCAAACTGGAGGTCAGGTAATCAGAGACTTGCCCTATTTCAGTTAATTCGTAACAGGCAGAACGGTGCTAACACTCAGGGGCGCCTCCTAAGAAACCAAAGAAAAGGCTTCTCCCCACTTGGCAAGGAAATAGGGGTGCAGGTGGGATGGATCCCATCCGTCTTGGAATCCCCAGGGGTACCTACCTCGGCCTGATCCACGGCTTCCTGGATTTATTTAGACGCCCACACGGCATGTTTCTGATGACAGCAGAAAGACAAACGGGCCACTTCACTTGTGCCTGTCACATGCTCATTTGCATACCCTGACTCTGTACATATCACTTGTCATTCTTAAAAAGTCCTGTGCCTCTTGTCCATTGAGCACAGGGATCGTTTTGATTTTCCTATTTAAGTCTTTTTTTTCCCGAATGAGTTGGTTTCATTCCAGGTGGTACAGAATTCCGAACAGAACACAGACGGAAGAGCACACCTGGGCAGGATTCTGGGCTGGGCTCACTCTGACCTCACAGCTAAGGCTGAAGTGGCAGAGTGACAAGGGCTGAACATCAAGCCCCTGCACAACCATTATCATTACCGTTATCTTTTTTTTACAAAAGCGTATTCTTCCATGCACAACAGGCTCCAAGGCAACACTTCATTCCAGCTCTAGGCGGCAGCAGATGCTGTGGCAGGGAATCCAGATGTTAAGAGGCAGGGGATTAAGGATCGCCGTTGCCCCAGGCGCGAGGAGCAGCTCGCTTTTTGCCAGATTCCTTCGTTCCACCTGGGCCAGGGTTCGCTTTCAGCTCCTCGGGTTTCTCCTGCTCCTCCTTCCGCTTCTGCTGGAATGCCTCGTCTTCCTCGGCCATCTCCTCGCCCGCTTCATGGGCTTCTTGCCACCTTCCCCGCGGACATGGTGCCGGCAGCCCCTTCCCCAGACCCCGCCTCCCTATGTAAGCCTTTTTTAAAGCTTATTGTTTTTTCTTCGCCCGAGGATATTTTTGCATTTATCTTCAGGTAGAGTGAGATGAAGAGAGGGAGAAAGAGAGAGAGAGAAACATCGATGTGAGAGAGACACATCGAGTGGTTGCCACCCACACGACCCCAACCGGGGACAAACTGCAACCACGGTCCCTGGGCTGACGCTCTGACGGCTGAGCCAAACCGGCCAGGGCGCTATGTACATCTTTAATCCACCCAGATCGCTCTCTGTGGGGTTAGTGGAGACCCAGGTTTTTCTCTACGCAAGAAGGAGGTTTTCTCATCTCTCCCCAGTAACCTGTGGGTCACCTTTACTGTCACACTTTAAGTTCCCAGATATGCTCTATCCTTGACCTTTCTGTTTTTCAATTGATGCCTCTCTTGGATCCTGTGGCAATTATTCCGCACCATGTTTATCACTCTGGCTTTATGGTATATTTAACATGTGGTAGGACAATTCCTTCCTTTTTATTTTTTATTTTTTTGCAAGGTGAGATTAGCTATTCATAGACCTTTATTTTGTTATATAAATTTTGTAATAAGTTTATTAAGTTCCAAAAAACATCTAGCTGGCATTGCATTGAATTTATTGATTAATTTGGGAAGAAGCGACATCTTTATGTTATTAAGTATCCAAAACAAGAGTCTAAATTACCTTCATTAGAATTTTGTTTTCTCCACAGAGGTCTTGCATATTCTTGGTGAAGTTAATGCATTACTTTTATGTGTAGAGGAATAACTAGGAAGGTGCAATTTAAAGAGTGCTATTTTGGCCTGGCCGAGGTGGCTCAGTGGTTGAGCATCGACCCATGCACCAAGAGGTCCCAGGATCGATTCCCGGTCAGGACACATGCCCAGGTTGTGGGCCTGAACCCCAGTAGAGGGCATGCAACAGGTGGCCAGTCTATGTTCTCGCTCATCAATGTTTCTATCTCTCTCTCTCCTTCTCCCTCCCTCTCTCTCTAAAGTCAATAAAAAAAAATTTAAAAAACAAAATAGTGATATTTTGAAATTGACATCCATTTAGCAATATCTCTCAAAATTACACAAAAGTGCACAGACCATCTAACCTTTGTCAATGGATGACCATCGGCACCAATCCAACACCAAATGGAATCCCCAGTTTGGGGTGTGGTGAAAAGGAAGTAACCTCAGGGCAGTGATAAACAGCTGCTGAGGAACAGCTGGATTGCGGTGCAGGTGTGTCCAGGGCCTCCAGCGCCGGCCTCTTCAGCTATGAAGCTCCTTTCTGCCCCTCAGCTCTGGCTGAGCCAGGGGAAGGCAGTCTTCAGTGCAAAGTGCACACCCAGCCAGAGGGGAGCTGGCTTATATGGACAGAAGTCCCTGTCCCTGGTCCCTGATTGGTCCGTTCTCATGCAAATGAGGGCTCCAAATCCTTGATGTTTGATTGGTCCAAAAAAACACTGTCCTGATTGGTCAGAATAGAGCCACTCGGATCGCTGGAAGATACACAGTTCTGATTGGACGGCAAAAGTTACAGTCCTATTGTTTGAAACAGGATTCCAGGAACACCTTTATAAGGGCCGGCTGGGCTGGCAGAAACACTGCAGGGGTTTGAGGAGATGCCGCTCTGCAGAAATGGCTGCTGGGCTCTGCTGCTTTTCATTTGAGCCCAGTTAACCACCAGGAGGCCTTCTGGGTTCATACCTTCTCGGACTTTACCTGTCAGCTCTACATGAAAATGAGCAGAATGGCATGTGTATTTCATGGCACATTCCAACAGTGGAAAATAGGATACAGTGCAGCCCTTAATGTGGATTTAGAACAACCGCATGGGGACGCTCTCAGGCAGGGCACCTTGGAGCACTGTGACAAGTTACTGCACAGTTAGTGGCTTAAAGCAACACTGACTTCTTCCCTCACAGTTCTGGGGGTCAGTAGTCCCAACACCACGGTGGGCAGCAGGGCTGTGCTCCTGGAGGCTCTCAGCGAGAACGCATTTGCTGCCTTTCTCAGCTCCTAGAGGCTGCATCACGCCTGGGCTCGCGGCCCTTCCTCCACCTTCCAAACCCAGCGCAGCGTCTTCCACTCCCTCTCTCCCCACCCCCGCTTGGGTCATCACATCTGCTCTAACTGCAACCCACTGGCTCCCTCCTGTAAAGCCCCTTGTGAGTTCCTTGGGCCCATCTGGATAATCCAGGATGATCCCATTCTGTGTGTGTGTACCTGTGTGTGCGCGTATGTATGTACATGCATGTGTAGTATGTACGTGGATGTGTGTGTCTGCATTTCCCTCGACGTCTCAGAGCAGTAGTAAAGGAGAGAGGAAGCACGGGGACGCCTCACACGCACACATAACACAACCAGAGAAGATGCCGAGCAGAGCTGTGGGGGCCACGTCCCCTTGAGGAAGCTTCCAAAGCTGCGGGCTCACATCGCAGAGAAAACTGCTCAAAGGCACAACTGGGTGGTGATGTCAGTGGTAAACTCACAGCAAATGAACAGACCTTTGACTTCAGTGAAATACACCCCTTGCTTTTGACTCTCATTTACTTAAAGTGGGTCAAAACGTGGTTTAAAAAAAGCCGGGACACGTGACGCAGCTGAGAGGGTGGCAGGCGTGTTCTCAGACCCCAGGACTGCTTGCAGCAGGTTCCCAGTCCCCTGACGCGGGGACAGTGAGCGGTGACGGTCCCTTCCCGCCCGCCCAGCGACGACACCTCTCAGGATGTCCAGACCCCTTGGAGCCTTCCAGCTGCTCTGTGCTCATCTGGGATCAAAGGCAAGAGTTTTCTTTAATTCAGGATGGCAGGTGTAGAGCAGCATTGTTTAAATAACTTCTCTTCTCTCTTAAAACATTTCAACTTTATTGATCTCTCTCTCTCTTTCTCTCTCTCTCTCTCTCTCTGGTTACTCTTCACCCAAGAATATTTTCCATTCATTTTTGTTGTTGTTGTTATTGTTTTGTAGCTAGAGTGGAAGGGAGGGACCTGGGGAGAGAAACATCGATGTGAAAGAGACACACTGACTGGTTGCCTCCTACACGACCTTAATGGGGCCAGGGATTGAACACGCAACCCAGGTACGTGCCCTTGACTGCAATCAAACCCACAACCCTTTGGTTCCAGGGCCAACACTCTAACTGCTGGAGCAAGCTGGCCAGGTCTTGATCCCCCTTATATTAAAAGTAAATCTGCCCTGGCCAGTGTGGCTCAGTGGATGATTGTCGACCCTGCACTAAGAGGTCACTGGTTCAATTCCCAGCCAGGGCCCATCCCCAGATTGTGGGTCTGATCCCCAGTGGGGGACATGCAGGAGGCAACCAATCAATGTTCCCTCTCATCGATGTTTTTCTCTCTCTCTCCCTCTCCTCTCCCTTCCTCTCTCTCTAAATATCAACAAAGAAACTTTTCAAAAAAATGTTTTAAAAAAAGGTAATCTAAGAGTCCAGGAGAACCGAGGGCACTGCCCAGCGCCGGGTCTGGGGCCCAGGACAAGCCCCTCCTCCCGCCTCAGTGTCCCCACCTGGGAGAGGGGAGTCCCGCCTCCGCCTGGGCATCTCCTGGCTCCCTGCCAGCACCCCTCCCCCAGCAAGCCCAGACACCTCCACGGGGTGATACAAAGCTATTCGGAGGTAACACCGTGGGAGCCACGTCTGTCCCTGGGCTCCCACGGGACCGACCCCTCTCACCAGCTGGACCAGGCAGAGGAAAAGACGGGAGATGGGACACCGCCGGCCGGGGGCGGGGGCAGCCGCAGTCCTCAGCGGACGAGCACCAGCCCCAAGGAGCCCGGCTGTCCTGTTGGTCACCGTGGAGGGGCAGGCTGAGGGCATCTGGAGAGGGTGAGGGGCAGGTCCGGGCTCGCGGTGGCCCACGGAGTCCACCAGGGGGAGGCTGGAGGCCCAGGCTTATGTCTTCTTAATCACACTGTACTCTGGTTCCAGCAGGGGGCGCCCCCGGGAGGGACTCTTGTCCTGAGAATCCGGGTTCTGGACGCTGAATAGCACTGTGCTGTAGTGGAGATCGTCCCTGGGAGCCTGCTGCAGGGACAGACCCATGCTCAGGGGTACGCAGGGAGTCACGGACCCAGCTTAGGATGGGGTGCGGGACACCCCAGGGGCCCTGGAGAGGCTCCACTGGGAGCACCCCAGCCTTCCCCACTGTCCTGCCCGCTCCTCCTAGAAGGACTGGGCTCCAAGACCCTCCACCCACTGCTCCACCCACCTGGCCATGCCACTGCCCAGGACCCCGGGCATCACAGCCTGGGACCCTGAGGTCCACTGGAAGATCATTAGTCACCAAGTTAGTCAAACAAGGGTGCTGTCTTCCCAGGGCCCCATGTCTGATTGATGCTTTGTCCCAGGGCCCCATGTCTGATTGATGCTTAAATCCCCCCACCCCATCTTCTCCATCAAGGGATCCTTGGCCTCTCCTTGACTTCTTTCAGTAGCAGGATTCGCTGGGGGGCCCTGGGGGCTTCTCCCACTATTGCACTTTACAGAGCTTCTGCCTGAGGACTGGCCCTGCGGCAGGTCATTGATTAAAACCCGAGAAGCAGAGTAGATGCCAAAGAGGTGATGGGAACAAACAGCGGGGAATCACAGGTTTCACACAGTCTATGGGACACAGTAGGTGCTTAGTAAGAGTGCACTTCATTAGCTCTCAGGGCCATAGTGACGGGCCATCCAAATAGGCCCTCCATTTCCCACCCCACCCCCAACCCCACGCCAAGCCACAGCCACACCGAAGTCTACACCTGCTTTCTTTCCCGTGTGGCATTGCCCTAAAGAGACAAAAGGGCGCCAAGCCGGCCCCTCCCTTCCCTCCCTGCCCACTGCCACCCCAAGGGGGACGCCTCTGGCATAGCCCAGGGTGCCCTCCAGGATCCGGGTCCTCAACTCACCACTGTGCTGTATTCCACCTCCTCCTGCCTGGGCTGCAGGGTCTCTCCCTGAAGAGGCCAGGCCTGAAGCTCTAAATTGGCATAGCAGGGCTCCCTCTGCTGGTCAGCCTGGGGTGGGCAGGAGGAACAGAGCTTGGTGACTATTCACCAGCCCCTCCATGGTCCATTCCAGAGAGGCCTCCGTCCCCGCTTCTCTGCAGACATCTCCCCTTCCCTCTATGTTCAGGGGGCCCTAGCCCCAGCCCTGGTCCATTCCAGAGAGGCCTCCGTCCCCGCTTCTCTGCAGACATCTCCCCTTCCCTCTATGTTCAGGGGGCCCCAGCCCCAGCCCTGGTCCATTCCAGAGAGGCCTCTGTCCCCGCTTCTCTGCTGACATCTCCCCTTCCCTCTGTGTTCAGGGGGCCCCAGCCCCAGCCTTCCTGCCTGCCTCCCCACCCCCACTCTGGTCCTCTCTGGGCGATGTCTGAATGCTCTCCAGGATAGTGGCCAGGCTGGAAGAACCCTCCCTCATTCCACGTTCCCTGGTGGGGGGACAGACTGGCCAGAGCTCAAGACAGACACAGTGACCAGATCTCCCAGGCAAGATCCTTCTTGCCCTGGCCGAGCACCCCACCTTTCCCATTGATGATCCAACCAGACCTCCAAGAGCCAGAGAGATGGGCTCACCCCACACCCGGTGCCCCACCCAGCCACTCGACACTCCTCCTGCAGGCCTTCCTTACCTGACTGGGGTTCTGGAGAGGCTCGGGGTTCCCGCCAGCTAGAGAGACCAGGGGAGAGAGTGAGGTTTGTCCCACAACAAAGCAGGGACCACGGTCCCTGAACTCTGTCTGGAGAAAGGCCTTTTCCTGGAGACTTACATCCCGGAAAGGAAGGGGGCACTGATGTTCCCCAACAACCAGCTGGTCAGTGAAACCTAGTTTGATTACAGTCATCCCAGAACCCAGCACAGGGCCTGGAGCACAGGAGCTGCTCAGGACAGATTGCTGTGAGAGTGAGTGAGGAGTGAGGAGTGAGTGAGGAGTGAGTGAGGAGTGAGGAGTGAGGAGTGAGTGAGGAGTGAGGAGTGAGGAGTGAGTGAGGAGTGAGTGAGGAGTGAGTGAGGAGTGAGGAGTGAGTGAGGAGTGAGTGAGGAGTGAGTGAGGAGTGAGTGAGGAGTGAGTGAGGAGTGAGTGAGGAGTGAGTGAGGAGTGAGGAGTGAGTGAGGAGTGAGTGAGGAGTGAGTAGGAGTGAGGGAGTGAGGAGTGAGTGAGGAGTGAGTGAGGAGTGAGGAGTGAGGAGTGAGTGAGGAGTGAGGGGTGAGGGGTGAGTGAGGAGTGAGGAGGGAGGAGTGAGGAGTGAGTGAGGAGTGAGGGTGAGGGGTGAGTGAGGAGTGAGGAGTGAGAGTGAGTGGGATGAGATGAGTGAGGATATGAGGAGTGAGGTGAGGAGTGAGGAAGTGAGTGAGAGTGGTGAGAGTGAGTAGTGAGTGAGGAGTGAGGAGTGAGTGAGGGAGTGAGGAGTGAGGAGTAGGAGTGAGGAGTGAGTGAGGAGTGAGGAGTGAGGAGTGAGTGAGGAGTGAGTGAGGAGTGAGGAGTGAGGGGTGAGTGAGGAGTGAGGAGTGAGGAGTGAGTGAGTGAGGAGTGAGTGAGGAGTGAGGAGTGAGGAGTGAGTGAGGAGTGAGGAGTGAGGAGTGAGGAGTGAGTGAGGAGTGAGGAGTGAGGGGTGAGGGGTGAGTGAGGAGTGAGGAGTGAGGAGGAGTGAGGAGTGAGGAGTGAGGAGTGAGTGAGGAGTGAGTGAGGAGTGAGGAGTGAGGAGTGAGTGAGGAGTGAGTGAGGAGTGAGGAGTGAGTGAGGAGTGAGTGAGGAGTGAGGAGTGAGGAGTGAGTGAGGAGTGAGTGAGGAGTGAGGAGTGAGTGAGGAGTGAGTGAGGAGTGAGTGAGTGAGTGAGGAGTGAGGAGTGAGGGAGGAGTGAGTGAGGGAGTGAGGAGTGAGTGAGTGAGGAGTGAGGGAGTGAGTGAGGAGTGAGTGAGTGAGGAGTGAGGAGTGAGTGAGGAGTGAGGAGTGAGTGAGGAGTGAGGAGTGAGTGAGGAGTGAGTGAGGAGTGAGTGAGGAGTGAGGAGTGAGGAGTGAGGAGGGAGTGAGGAGGAGTGAGGAGTGAGTGAGGAGTGAGTGAGGAGTGAGTGCGGCGTGAGTGAGGAGTGAGTGAGGAGTGAGTGAGGAGTGAGTGAGGAGTGAGGAGTGAGGAGTGAGGAGTGAGTGAGGAGTGAGGAGTGAGTGAGGAGTGAGTGAGGAGTGAGTGAGGAGTGAGGAGTGAGTGAGGAGTGAGGAGTGAGGAGGGAGTGACAGGAGGTAGCTGCAGGGTGACTGGAGCCCCAGGCCCAGCAGTCATCAGCCTGAGGGGAAGGAGAGGGGACAGTGGCGGCGCTGACACTTTCGCATATTTGAACAGAAAGCCCGTCTCCCGTCACAGTGAACAGTGTGATCCCTGCACACCGGGTGAGCTCTGCGTAGGGATTTTTAGATCATTAACCCGGAGGAAAATAATACAATGTGCAAGCTTATTTGTGGAACACAATGAACAGAACAGTCTGAGGAACAGGGTAGACCCAGAGACGTGGACGTAGGGTGCAGACTGACAACCCTCAGAGGAGGGGGGGGGAGGAAGAGATAAACCACAGAACTACATGCATGTGCGCACAACCAATGGACACGGACAACAAAACCCGGGATGAGGGGGGCGGATGGGATGGAGGGTGTCAATGGGGTAAAAAAGGAGAAACATCTGTAACAAAAATATCAAATAAATTTTAAAAACTACAGTGTGTAAGTGTGAGCAGAGGTTGAAAGGGGAATCCTGGTGTGAAAACAACGTCTTGGGAAACACGGGCACAAACAGGCATCGGAAACACCGGAGGACACACCCCGAATGTGCTTGGTTTGCTCTGGGTGGTGGGAGTTTCCGTTTTTATTCATTAGGGGACATTTACTTCCTTCTCTGTGCTTTTCCTTACTTTTGAAGTTTTACAGCAGTCACGTACCCCATTTTTAAAGGGGGAGCTTTTCTAGGTGAAAGGGCACTGCGGGATCCCTGGCCGCCAGGGGTCGGAGCCAGCCCAGGCCGGGAAAGCCCGTGGGGAGGCAGTACCCCGTGAGGCCTGCGGGTAAAGGGGGGCCCTGGGAACTGTGGGGGAGCCACAGCTGGGAGAGGAAGTGGCTGATCCAGTTCCCTCCTCAAGGCTGCTCAGGCTGGGGCAGCGGCTGGGCCCCTGGAGGGCTGAGGAGCCAGGCAGTGGCCCTCGCCTCCCAGCTCCCCGTGGGTACCAGCTCACAGTGATCGCTGCAGCTCTGGAGAGAGTAACCCCATCCCTCTCACCCCGATCTCATGGCAGACAAGGATCCCCGAGAACCCACTGCCCCCGAAGCCAGCACCGCAGCTCAGGGAGGAATCGTCAGGCTCACACTCTGTCTGGGGCAGAAGTCTGCTCCCCTCAGCCGGCAGGGAGGCCCCAGCACCAGTTACTTAACGCATCGCCACGTGCCTACTGAGCACCTACTTACTGAGCGCCAGCCTGGGCGCTGGGTGCTCCGCACGTTCTCTCGCTCCATCGGAGCTCAGAGGAGGCGACAGAGCACAGGATGCCGGGAGCTTCCTGGGTGCCCCCCGCAGACATGACAGCACATCTGAGCAGTAACACACGACTGGCCTTCTCCACTCATGCCCCTGACCTCAGGGGCCGCATGGGCTGGGGAGAGGCAGGCGAGGAAGCAGGCGGTGACGATGGTAGAGGTACACCCAGGGGGTCCCCAGGCTACTTTCGGGACCAGCAGAAGGTGGGAGGACAGGAAGTGGAGGGCAGCCCTCAGGGCCCACGGGAGTGAGGGAGAGAGCAGGCAGGTGTCCAGAGCCAACACAGTGACACTGGGGTCACGGCCTTGGCGACTGGCAAGAAGTTGGGAAGAGCTGCCTTCCAGGGTGCCAGGAGGGGGGCAGAGCGAGGTCATGGAGGGCCGTGCCTGTCCTGTGGGGGCCTAGCCATTTCGGATGTGGGGGTCATGGAAGAAATTTGTTTTGTTATTTTTCTAATTTTCACCCAAGGATATTTTCCATTTATCTTAGAGTGGAAGGGAGGGGGTCAGGGAGGGGGAGGGGCGAGAGTGAGAGAGCGAGATCAATGAGAGAGACACATTGAGTGGCTGCCTCCCACAGGACCCCAGCCAGGGCCAGGACACCAAACTGCCACCAAGGTTCGTGCCCTTGACCAGTATTGAACCTGTGACTCTGGTTGGTGGGCTGGCGCTCTAACCACTGACCCACACCGGCCAGGGCCATGGAAGGGCTTTAAACAGAAGAGGGACCCTGCTTCTCGGCACCACCACCAGGCCCAGCCCTGGGGAAGGCCTCCCCCTGGGACCCACCTCCCACCGCTGGACCCCAGCACACCGGGGTCACCGGCTCTGGTCTGCCCTCTAGGGTCACCCCGGATATGCAGTGGAGGGCATGCGCTCAGTGCCCACTGGGATGGGGCAGGGGACAGGCAGTGACTCACCTTTGGTCTGCCTGCGGACCATCCTCCAGGCCAGCACGGAGGTCCCCACCAGGAGCAGCAGCAGGAGCAGCAACAAGAGGAGCAGCATGTCGAGCCTGCAGGGGAGCCGGGGGTGAGGGTGGGGGCTGGGAGTGCAGGATACATTCCCTCCCTTGTTCTATGCCTTGGTAAGGTCACAGTAAAACACCGAACCAGCCCTGGCCGGATTGGTTCAACAGTTAGAGCATCAGCCCGCAGGTCACAGAGTCCCGTGTTCAGTTCCCACTAAGGGCACGTACCTCGGTTGCAGTTTGTCCCCAGCCCTAGCTGAGGTCGTATAGGGGGCAACCAGTAGATGTGTCTCTCTCACATCGATGTTTCTCTCTCTCTTTCTCCCTCACTTCCTCCCACTCTATCTGTACATTAATGCAAAAAAAAAGTCCTAGGGTGAGGACAAAAAATAAAAACCAAACCAAACCATCAAGCATTTCCTTTCTCCATGTTTCCACATCTACCCAGTTCCCGCAACCCCCACACCCGGTATACATAAGACCAAGACCCTCCCAGAAGCTCTTTAATCAGATACAAGAAAGTATGAATGTATGTCATTCTCCTTTTTTCCACACAAAGGAGGCACAGTATAAACACTAGTATTTTACTTAACAGTCCATCTTGGACCCCATCAGGACAGGAAAACAGACATCACAGACTGCATCCTGGAGTTCTTTCCACGTCAGTACATACAAAAGGCCCTCACTGGTTTTTTTGGGTTTTTTTTTTATCCTCACCCGAGGACATTTTTCCATTTTTTGTTCAGGTAGAGTGGGAGGGAGAGAGAGGAACAGAGAGAGAGAGAGAAACATCGATGTGAAAGGAACACATCGAGTGGCTGCTACCCGCACAACCGACCAGGGCCGGGGACAAACTGCAACCGCTCACTCTGTTTTTTACAGCTGCATAGTATTCCACTGCCTGGATGGCCTAGCATTCATTTACCTCTTCCCTCTAATGGGCATTTATCTCTCCTCGTCCTTTCCCATAACCAATATTGCTGCAAAATATCACCTTGTAGCTCTGCGCACATGGACCAGCAGCAGCAGACTTCCTGCCATGACTTAGGGTTCGGGCCCCTTCCTTCATCCCTAGCTGGCATTCACAATGTTCAAGTCTTTTTCTTATTTTTTGATTTTTTAATCCTCACCCGAGGACATTTTTTTGCATTAATCTTCGACAGAGTGGGCAGGAGAGAAGGAAGGAGAGAGAGAGAGAACCATCAATGTTAGAGAGACACATTGACTGGCTGCCACCCACACGACCCAGAGCGGAGCCAGGGACAAACTGCAACTGAGGTAAGTGCCCCTGGTGGGAACCGAACCCGGGTTTGGTCCGCGGGCCAACATTAAGCCCCACAAAACCCAGCTCTGCCTCCCATGTGTGTATCCGCAGAGTCAATCTTTGGAAGCGGTGTGTTTGGGACCCGAATTTCACCGTGGCTGGTGTACAGATTGTCACCTAGTTGGCAGGTAGCTTTGGGAGGGCTGGCAGCTGACTAGCTTCGTCCTGCTCCTGGGAGAGAGGCTAAACCCTCAGGATCTCTCATTATCCACAAAGCCCTTGGGTCACCCCCGACATTATGCTACGAGGTAAGGTGACTCGGGATGGGTGGGGCTGGTCACCAGGAGGAACAGCCACACGATTAGAGACTCGGGGCTCTGAGCCAGCTGGCCCTCAGTGAGGTTGGGAATTGAGTTCAATCATGTGGTCACTGATTCAATCAATCGGTCTATGTGATAAAACCCAAATAAAACCTCTGGACGCCAGAGGTGGGAGGAGCTTCCTGGTTGTTAAACACACAAGTTCCAGGAGGGCGATGCGCCCGGCTCCACGGGGAGGGGGCGTGGAAGCTCTGCATTCAGAACCCGGTGCGGCCCCCACGTGTTCCGCCTTAGCCTGGCCCCCACCTTCGTCCTTTATGGTAAAACCGTTAGCATAAGTGTAGTGCTTTCTCGCATTCTGTCAGTGATCTACCAATGATAAAAGCCAGGGGGTCATGGGAACCCCCAAATTTGTAGCCAGTGGGTCAGCAGTGCGATGCCGTGGGGATCCCCACAGTGCTCCGGCATCTGAGGCAGTCATAGGGGATTGAGCCCCTAACCTGTGGGGGCTGTGCTAACCCCAGGCGCCCGTGCTGGGACTGAGTCACAGGACACAGGTGCTGTCTGACCCCAGAAATGGGTTAGGACAGCATGCATTTTTCTGGGAACTCTATAAACGTTGGATTCTCTTATGACCCCCAAAAGGTCAAGAATCACTAGATTAGCCCGGCCAGTGCGGCTCACTGGGTGAGAATTGACCCATGTACCGAGAGGTCGCTGGTTCAATACCCGGTCAGGGCACATGCCCAGGTTGTGGGCCTGATCCCCAGTGGGGGGCATGCAGGCGGCGGCCAGTCGATGTTCTCTCTCATTGATGTTTCTGTCTCTCTCTCTCCTTTCCTCTCTCTAAAACCCATGAAGAAAAAAATATTTAAAAAAAAAAAAAAGATTCAGTAGTTTAGAAGGAATAAGCTAAGGCGTCAGAGTCACAGAACCCTGTGTTAGAAGCCCAGCCTGCCTCTTGTAGCTACACGACCGGGCAAACCACTCAAATCGTGTAACCTCTCCGAGCCTCAGTTTACCCCTCTGCATAGTGGGAGCAGTAATGGTGAGGGTCCCAGCGAGCGGCAGACGAGAGCACTCACGGGAGGTGTGGCCCAGGCTGGTGGGATGGCGTCACAATCATTCAACGTCACCTTCCTTCATCCCCCTAGCTTCTCCCCGAGAAGATTCTCGGATCCCAAGGCAGGTCCAGCCACAGGGCCACAGGGCTGGGAAGGAGGTGGCCGCCCTGAGCCCCTCCTGAGGAGAAGGCCCACCTCTAGGACATGGGGACTTGGGCTCCTTACCTGGGGCCTGGACTCGGAGGGGGGTCATCCTGGATGTTCGCCCTGTGGGTGACATTCACTCCAGCCGGAGCTGTGGACCTGGTAGGAATTTTGGCTGAGGTGGTCGGGGGCTTGGCCGTAGCTGACGTTGTAGGTGACACTGATATCGGTGCTGGGGGAAGGGGAAGGGGAAGGGGAAGGGGAAACACCGGTCAGACTCGGGAACCTCTTCTGACCCCTCGCCACCCCCCCCCCCACCGTGTGATTTCACCCACAATGCTCACCAGGACGGCCAAAGCCTCCCCTGGTCCGGCCTGGGGAGAACATTTCCCAACAGGACGCGGGTACTGCTCCCAAGGGTCCCGATTCCATCCTCCCTAGGGGGGTCACCGCCCTCCAGAGAGGCCCTGAGTCACTGTCACACCCTGTCCTGTCCCCTCCAGCCACTGCCACATGCTGCTTGCCAGAGATGTCTGCTCAGCGGCAAATCTGAGGTGTCACCGAGCCCCACTGCGCTCAGCGCCTGCAGCTCCCACACTTCCCCACGCAGCTCTGGGCTTCCACGGGGCCGACCCACGGGGCTCCTCTCTCCTGTGCATCTGCTCTCGGCCTCCCCTTTGCCTGATGCACCTTCCCACCCCCCAAGACTGAGCACAGATGCCAGCTCCTCCAGGAAGCCTTCCCGTCTCTCCCCCTGTGTTTCTCCTTCTCTCTACATGCACACACACACACACGCACGTGCGCACACTCGCACACGCACACATGCACACGCGGACAAACACATGCACACACACAGTTTGCTTCGAGTCTCTGATCTGGCCCTTGCCTGGGCTATTCAGACCTGACTCCTCAGGCGGCCTGGAGCTGGGACGAGGGGAGGGTGCGTGCAGCTCACCTGGGGACACAGACACCTCAACCTAAAAGGTAGTATCGAAAAGTCCTTCATTCCATGGTACATTAATTCCACACTCGTATGTGCCTGCATCGCCCTCTCTGAGGTTCTCCAAGGTCACTGTGAAGGTGAGGTTTTCTGGGTGGTCCCTGATGGACACACGGCCCCTGCTCACTGCTCTCTGTGTCTCTGTGGTCTCCACGATCTTCTTCATCAGCGACAAGTGGACATGGGCTTTCGCACCAGTATTTCTTCATGTCTGCGAACTCTTCCTCATACTGACACTGCACGCTCAGGGAGCCCCCCACGGTGCCCGTCACCCGGCGAGGGCCGCTCAGAGACAAACCGCCTGCAAGACAGCCCAGACCCGCCCCTTACAGATGGGCCAGGGTCAGGGCGCCTGGGGGTCACCCCATGGATCTCCCCATTTCAAACCAGCCAAATCCCACTTTGAGCGTCTTCCCCTTCCTGTCACCCCAATATTTTTATCGCAGCAGCCCCTTCCTCCAGACCCCAACCCCCTTTCTTGCTACCCTGCCCACCCCTCACCAACCAGGGGCCTCCCACTTCCAACTCATCAGGACCACAAACACCCCAGCACTCTGCTCTCCCCGGAGGCCCCCAAGTAATATTTCAGCGTGAGCCCCTCCCCACTCCCCTGCAGCTCTGTGACCACAAGGTCCTGTGGGTCCCTCTACGGGGGCCCAGCAGGCCCTCCTCTCTTGGCCTGGGTGGGCAGATGTCCCGCAGAGAAGCCCCGTCACTAGGTTGCGAGGGTGAGGAGAGAAGGGTCAGAAGAACCCGGGTTTGTCTCAGCTCTATGATGCATCAGCTGTGTGTGCCAGGGCAGGCTACTCGACCTCTCTGAGCTCCAGGCCTCATGTGTAGAGTGTTGATCGTTGGTAGGCCTCCCATTGCACGCGGGACATTGAGTGAGATGGTGGGTGCAAAATGCCTGGTAAATAAATTTAGGCTGAACGATATGAAACTGCTGAAAAATGTCCAACTGTTCTGACCAAAAACCCAGAAATTTCATGATTCGGTCTAATAAAAAGAGAGAATCCTCTGTCTAGCCAAATGAAGAAGTAAAAAGAGAAAGTAACCACAGATACGAACACAATCAGGACAATGAAGGCAGTACTTTGCAGGAGTTCTCTACAAATAAATGCGTAAATCTGGATGAATGTGGGATTTTCCTAGAAAAATACAAATTACTGACATGGACACAGACCAGTGCTTCATAAATGCATGTCTGCTTCAGCCTCCCCTATCGGCCAAGACGGCACTCCTGGTCCCACGTCCGGCTCTGGTCCCTGCCTCTCCTCAGTTGTCCTTGACACGTTTCTCTGCCGGGGTCCTGCTCCCCTCCCAGGCCTGGGTCTCCAGAGCACCTCACCCCAAACCCAGTCACGTCCCTCTGTCCGTCTCCAGTGCTCCTTCTCACGTGCACCCCCTTCTCTCTCCTTCTCCACCCTGCATCTGAAATCTGGGGTGAAAAAAGTCACCATTTCTCCCCAAAGCGTCCGCCCCCGTGAAGGGGTCACACTAACTTAGGGGTAGGGAGGGTGTCAGAAAACCTGCAGCCTGTTCCCCCGCCTACCTGGAGCCCTGCCACGTCCGCACGGTCCTCCCTGGAGCCTTCTCTGTGCCTTGACCTTCCGAGGCTTGTCCCCGACCCTCCCTGCTAAGCACACACCCAGAGGCCCGGAGACCACCGGCCAGAGTCCCCACCGTTCCCAAGACTCTTCCCCCAGAAGGTGCCCGTGCTGTCCTCGTGTTCTTGTAGGATCGCAAAGGCTCTTCCCACCGAATCCCACAGAAAGAAGTGAACCCCAACTCCGGAAGTCAGGAGAGGCTAAGGCCCAGCCCGGGGGGTGGACAGAGTCAAGCCGGGGCAGAAGCCAGTGATCAGGGAACAGGAAACCTCCCATTAGTGTGCACACTGAGAGGGACAGACAATAACAGGCTTTCTGGTGGGTTCGCCAAATCAAGGGGAAAAGAAGCCACACGTCCACAAACCACTAGAAAGAAAAGTAACCAGGGTAATCTGCAAGTCTCTACAAATAAGTCTGTAGCTTGGGTGAAACGGATGCTTTTCTAGGAAAACATGAATTACCACTATTGGCTCCAAATCCATGTTTTAGTGTAGACCAATAATGGTGAGTGTTCTCATGGAGTCCTTGCCTGATGATGACTACGTGACTGATGTGATCATTTCACAGTGTATACATGCACCAGAAATATACACATTTCTTATTTGTTAATTATATAAAGCTGGGGGGGTTCCCCCCAAAAAAAACAGTCCCCTGCTGGTATCTCTGTGGTTGGAGCATCATCCCATACACCAGGTCTCAGGTTCGACTTCCAGTCAGGGCACATACCTAGGTGCGGGTTCGAGACCTGGTTGGTGTGTGTATGGGAGGCAACGGGTCAATGTATCTCTCTAACATCAATGTTGATCTCTCTCTCAAATTAATTAATAAAATAATAATAAGAGCAAACCTAGACAGTTTCCCAAGTCAGTTCTCTCTCAAGCGTTCAAGGGGCCCTGGCTACACCCTCCACGTCCTGAGAGCACGGCCCCCAGGCTTCCTCCACACCCTGGACCGTGAACCAGGAGGGGCCCCGTCCTGACACAGCCCTCCGTGCTCAGGGAAGCCCCTGTCCACACCGCGCTGCGCCTCTCAGCCTCCCCAGAACCCTCCCCCATGCCCTCCCCGTGGCCCCACGCCCCACGGTGGCTCATCTAAGGTCAGGAGTCAGACCCTTGCGCCTTCTGTCCCCAGGAGTGCCATCCTTCCGTCTGTCTGTCCATACTCCCTGGTGGACTGAGTGCGCCCCATCCTGAGATCGGTGGGGCGTCCAGACTGGGGTTGCTACAGAGACAACCTCCCGCTGCCCGCCCCCCGCTGCCCGCCCCCGCGGCCCTCACCTGGGACCCAGAGCAGCAGCAGGGCTGCGGGCAGCCAGGACGCCCGGTCCGGCGGGGTCATCTCACCGCACAGAGGTCGCCGGCACAGGGCCCTGCGGGACCCAGGCGTCAGTCCCCGTCCAGGGGCCCAGTGCCCGGCTCAGCTTCTGCTTCTCTCTGCGCTGGTTCCTTGTTCCCATGTTTGGTTTTGTTCCTGGAACTGTCAGGAAATGGAGGCGCCAAGGCCGCAAAGCCTGGGGGGCTGGTTGAGACACCCCGGAACTGAGCTCGCTCCTACCTAACCCCAGCTCACTCGAAGGCTCTCGTGTGTTCCAGTGAGGAGCCCCCCATTCCTCCACAGCTCACAGGCCTGTCTCCCCTCTCTTTGCACCCCCAGACTACAGGGCCAGCTTTCCTTCGGGTCGGGCCCAGTAACTGCCCCCACCCCATTTCCTGGTGGTCGGTGGTCAGGGTGAGACCCTGGGGTGGAGCCCTGGGCAGCTCCCACAATGAGGCCACCTTTCCATGAGCCTCCAGCTCAAGGCCCGGACCCCCCAGTTGGCTCAACGACCTCAGAGTCCCTGAACGCTTTCTAGTCTTGGAAACGTGTCCTCAACACGACCTGAAGGTCCTCAGGCTGTGACCTTGCTTCCTGTGTGGCCCCCGCTCGCTCGATCCAGCTCGGGGCAGGACACAGAGCGGGGACTCAGCAAGCGCTAGGGGACAGGGAGACTGGCTGGTTCTCCTCCTGGGAGGTCCCCGGACAGCGGGGTGGGGCCCCGAGGGTTCCTCAGGCACCGCAGTCAGGATGAATGACACTTGTGAGCACCCGGGTCTTGAACTGGACAGCAAGATGGGAACACGGCGTCACGTGGGGTGGTTTACTGGAAACTGCTTGTGGAGTTCTGCAGAGACTGGTGTTTTGCAGTTCCACCCCGGAAAGGCGTGGCCTCCCCGTGAAGGTCAAGGTGAGGAGGGGCAGGCACAGGTCTGAGAGGCAGGAGGCGGGGTTCTCCTCTGCCGTGACCTTGAACAAAGCCGGGGGCTCCTGTATAATGTCAACAATAAGAGCTAATCTGTGGGAATAACAGTATAATACCTATGAAGATACTTACGTGGGAGATAATATCCTTAGGCCATTTCCCCCAGGGAATACATCTTCAATGAAAAGCAAGGGGAGAATAGGGTTCCACCGTGAGAAGTGGGCTCCACATGTAACCTGGGACGGACTCTCCTCGGGATCATGGGCACACACTGGACCATGGCGGGCGGCGGAGAGAGGAGGGCCAGGGGAGCTGATCCCCACCACACTCCTGCTCACCACAGCCTGTCCACAAACCCTAAGAAGAAACAAAATTACTGAACGATGTCAGAAATGAAGGAAGTGGCCTTTTCCCTGCTGCTCCCCAGGAGCCATTGGTAGACACAGGAAGGCCCACCCTGGGGTGCTGGCCTGAGCCCCCTTCTCAGGCCAGGTCTTGCCATTACAAGGCCTCTCACTGGGTTGGGGGCCTCTTCCAGTGTGGACCCACGGGCTCGGGTTCCAGTGGGGAGGGTGTTGCTGGTGCCGGGTGGGGTATCTCCAGGCAGACTTGCAGCAGCTTTAGTCCTGCAGATTGTAGGAGCCCCAGAAAAGATTTGGGGGTGACTGAGGTGTGGGGCTTCTCAGCAGAACTTCCCTCTGCAGGGTAGTACAACTTAGAGCTGCCCTCTCTCCAGAACAATCGGTGGCTCCCCATCTGCTCTGCCTCTTTCTCCCCCTGACTGAGGGGATCAAGTGCGGCCTAAAGGCCACGAGGCTGTGCCCACGCCCAGCAGTGATGAGAGTGTGGCCACAGGACCAGGCTGCAGTGAGAACTGAGAACACCTGCTACCCGCCAGGAGCTTTGGCCGGGGTTAGATGGACTTGACTCAGGGATTAGTAACTTCAAGATCCATGAGACAAGTGGACCAACTGAATGGAAGCAGTCGGGGAAGGGGCTGCAGGGGAGGGAGGCAAAGTGCCGGGAGCTGCCGGTTTCCCTTCCCCAGGAGCCTGGTGAGATCAGCATCTGTGGCGGGCCCCGCCCCCACCTGCCGCTCTGCTGGACTCTGGGGACTGCCCACCTCTGGGGCAGCCACCCCAGCATGGCCAGACAGTCAAGGCAGCTTGCAAACTCCATGTCCCGGCGCACCCTCGGTCCATAGCCAGTGATTGTGATCGCCCGTGACGGCTTCTCTGCCTGGTCCCGGGGCTCTGCGCAGATGGGGAGGAAGAGGAAGCTGTGGCTGAGCAGATGGGTGGCGGTTCCCGCCGGAGGCCTGAAAGTCCCCGCCATCCGAGCCGACTCCCCGCAGGCCCTGCCCACCCCCGACGGGAACGGGATGAGACCTGCTCTGGGGGGGCCTGGGAGCCCAGCGGGGCCCCTGTGGGGGCGGCTCAGGAGGGGGCCTGCTCCAGGCTCCCCCTGGAAACAGCCTCGAGGCTCCTCAACGTCAGTCGCAGCGACAGGGGTGACCCTTCGAGCCGGCTCCTCAGAAGCCCCCGTCCTCTCAGGGCCGCTCGGGCTTTCTCCCCGCCCCCGCACCCGCCCCCTGCAAAGTCTATTTCTGTATTGAATCACCTACACCGGCCGCCGCCTGCCCTCCTTTCGGGGCAAGACTGTGAGGCTCCCAAAGCAGGGCCCACTGCTCTCGCCAGGGAGAGGGAGGCAGCAAGGCCTCTGGCTCCCAGCCGCACTCCGCCCCCAGGAGAAGGAAGGGACAGCTCGTAAAGTGGGGAGAGCATGTTGAAATCCATCCACCTGAGCACTGGGAGTCCTACCCTCCCCCGAAGTCCCACCTCAGGGACAGCCAGGTTCCAGCAGAGGCCAGCGGTGTGTCCACTGCGCACGGACGGACGGATGGACAGACGCAACGGCAGCATCTCCCCTCTCTCCCAGCTCCCCAGGGGTGCCCAGAGAGAGTGGCGTCCAAGGGGGCCGCCTCCTCCCAGCACGGGCCCCAGGCGTCTCCTGAATCTCTGTAATACCCTGGGATCCCTCCAGGGAGCAGGACCAGGGCCGGGGGTGGGTGAGGGGAGCCTGGGGGGAGCCCTGACTGAGACAGTGGGGACAGAGCGGAGAGCTCCTGCCCTGTGTCCTGGCCCCCAGCTGTATTGCAGCTGCTGTGAGTCCTTGTCCAGTGAGTGTCCCCTGCTGTGCAATGGAGCACGGCAGCACCCCACCCGTTTCACACTGCAGGGAGCCGGACCTGAGGCCAGAGACGGGATTCAGCTACGTCCCCGAAGCTGCGGTTCACTGAACGGCCGCCATGTGCACGCATCGATTTCCACTCCTCGCAACACAGCAAGTCGTGTTTGATGCGCGCGTCCCGATTAACCGCAACGTCGTCCACATGCGATGACTCGTGCGGTGCAGGGCGGGAGAAAGGCTTCGAGAGGCGGTGGAGGCGCCCAAACTGCTGACCACGCAGGAGCAGAGAGGAAGAGAATGTTAGGCAGCCGGGGCCATGAGAACCCAAACTGACAGGCCTCCCAGGGTACCCCGTTTCCCCGACTCCCTGCCCATCTGCTTCCTTCTCCTTCTGCACCCTGGGGACAGCCTGGGGGCGCTTCCTGCCGTGCTGACTGAGGCTGAGGTGAACCAGCAAGCGGTCAGTTCAGACCCTCGCATGTCTGGCTTCGGGAGCATTTGCCCTTGAACTTGAAGATGTAAATTTCTGACATTCTGAGGATGACCCCGACTCCCAAGGCCTCAGCAAGGTCAGAGACTTCTCCCCCCACCCACACACACACCCCTGCAACCCTCTTGACCTGATGATCTCCCCATAGACACTTCTGGAAGCTGGAAGGTGTGTGCTTCCCAGGGCTACTTCAGGCAAGCCAAGAGTTCACAGTGCTTTGGGGGAAGTGAGTGTTAACTATGGATGGCTTTTAAAAAAGGCCCACGCCTTGAGGCTCATTAATAACCAGCATCCGCCCCACCCTCGGGAAATCCTTGTGCTGAGCACCCGAGGGAGTTTTTCATTCAACTGAGAACCCAAGGCTCTTCAAGTAACCACGACTAATAACCTACAGGCAAAAAGCTAGAGGATAACTGAACCATTCCTGGGCTTGCAACTCTGGCCAGGAAAGTAAGACTTGACAGTGGTGTATAACGTGGGTCCTCCCACACTCATCTAAACCCAGGAGAGGGAGCCACAAACAGCAGAACACCAACACCCACAGGGAAAACTTGGCAGGCTCCAAAGCCCATTGTGATGGTCAAAATGGTGAAACACAGAAACAAATGCCAAATGAAAGAACAAGAAACCTCTACCGAAGATGAGATAAATGAGGTGCAGTTAAGCAAGTTAACAAAACTAGAATTCAGAGCCATCATCTTGATTCCTCAAGAGCATGAGTAAGGACATCAGTACCATGAGTAAAGACATAGAGATGTTGAAAATCAACCAATTGGAAATTAAAAACCACCAAGAAGAAATCAAGAATGACATATCAGAAATAAAGAACACATTGGAAGGTCTAAACAGCAGAGTAGAGGAAGCTGAGGACCGGATCAGTGAATTAGAAGACAGGGTAGAAAAAATCAACCAATCAGAAAACCAAAAGGAAAAAACCATTAAAAAACAGGAAGACAGAGAACTGTGGGACAACTGGAAACATAATAATATTCACATCATAGGAGTCCCCGAAGAAGAAAATGAGAAAGGGTTACAGAATATATTTGAAGAAATAGTGACAGAAAACTTTCCTAATTTGGTGAAGGAAGAAGGCATTCAAGTTCAAGAAGCACAGAGAGCCCCAAGTAAGAAGAACCCAAACAGGCCCATGCCAAGACACATAGTAATCAAACTGTCAAAAATTAAAGACAAAGAGAGAATCCTAAAAGCAGCAAGAGATAAGCAACAGGTTACCTACAAAGGAAACCCCATAAGGCTTTCAGCTGACTTCTCAACAGAAACACTACAGGCCAGAAGGGAATGGCACGAAGTAATCAAGGTCATGAAAAACAGGGATCTGAATCCAAGACTACTCTATCATTCAAAATAGAAGGTCAAATAAAGAGCTTCCCATTCAAAAAAAAGGGTTAAGGGAATACATTAGCACCAAACCAGCACTGCAACAAATGTTCAAAGGACTGCTGTAATTAATAGAAGAAACAGGAAGAAAAATATAACCACACTAAACAAAAAATGGCAATAAATAAGTACATCTCAATAATCACCTTAAATGTAAATGGACTGAATGCTCCGATAAAAAGACACAGAGTAGCTCATTGGATAAGAAAGCATGACTCATCTATATGTTGTTTACAAGAGACCCACCTCACAACAAAAGACTCACATAGGTTGAAAGTGAAGGGATCGAAAAAAATCTTCCAAGCAAATGGAAAGGAAAAAAAAGCAGGGGTAGCAATACTCATATCTGATAAAATAATTTCAAAATGAAGGCCATAACTAGAGACAAAGAAGGCCACTATATAATATTGAAAGGATCTATCCAACAGGAAGATATAACCTTGATAAACATATATGCACTGAATATAGGAGCACCAAAATATATTAAAAATCTTCTGGAGGACTTCAAAGGAGAAATCAACAGCAATACGATTGTTAACTCTTAACTTCCATATTACTGCCCTAAGCCTCTCATTCCAGAAAACCAAAACCCATCACTCCAGTCAGACGGAACGAAATGACGGAACTACCCTAACCCACCCAAAATTGCAAACGGTCGCTCGACAAGAAAAACAAGTTTCAGGAGACCCCAGACCCAGACCAATCAAGAACTCGGGAGACCCCAGGCCCGACCAATCAAAGATGACCACATCTCCTCCGTTGAACGACCACCTCCCCAGCCCCAGGCCCGACCAATCAAAGATGACCACATCTCCTCGGCTGAACGACCACCCCCCCAGCCCTAAATTTAAAAATCCCTAGTCTGTACAAGCCGGTTGCTACTCTCTCCTTAGGCTGATTCCCAATAAGCCT